TGGTACTAATCTCAATCAGATATTCAGAGCAATTACAATCATCTCAAGTGCAAACACTTTTGAGAATTCAACATCTTTTGAACTATCCAACAGCTTTGAGTAGTTGGAGTAATGAGACAGATTTCTGTAAGATTGAGCCAAGTTCAACTGTTACTGTTGTGTGCTACGACGAAAACATAACTCAGTTGCATATAATAGGGAGAAAAGGGACTTCCCCATTACCTAGAAAGTTCTCCATTCGTTCATTTCTCAACGCGCTTGCCAAGCTTCCTAGCTTGAAAGTCCTTAGATTAGTTTCTCTTGGTTTATGGGGGCCATTACCTGACAAACTTTCAAGACTTTCAGCTCTCGAGATACTTGACTTGAGTTCAAATTACTTTCACAGTGGCATACCTGAAGCAGTTTCATCCTTAACAGACCTCCAAACTTTAGTGTTAGATGGAAATAGGTTGACTGGCGGAATTCCAGATGGCCTTGGTTCACTTTCAGTTTTGGCAGTTTTGAGTTTGAAGAGCAATTCACTAGATGGATCTTTGCCAGATACACTGCGTGATTTGAATAATCTTCGTGTACTTTCACTTTCGAAGAATAATTTTAGTGGTGATGTCCCTGATCTTAGCAGTTTACAAAATCTTCAAGTTTTAGAGTTAGAGGACAACTCTTTTGGTCCAAAGTTTCCTCAAACTGGAAGTAAAATTGAAAGCATTGCTCTAAGGAATAACAAATTCACTGCAAACATACCAGAGAAAGTTCAGTCCTATTATCAGCTTGAACATTTTGATATTTCTTCCAACAACTTTATGGGGCCATTTCCTCCGTCGTTGCTATCTTTGTCATCCATCACATATCTGAATGTTGCAGGAAACAAGTTAACAGGAATGCTCTTTGAAGATAATCCATGTAACACAGCATTAGATTTTGTTGATCTGTCTGGTAATCTGTTGACAGGATCATTACCTAGTTGCCTTCTGTCTAGTTCTAGGAACCGGATTGTGCATTTTTCCAATAACTGCTTAGCAACCGGAGATGGTACTCAACATCCATTTTCATTTTGTCGGAATGAGGCTTTGGCTGTTGGTGTCTTACCTCAGCATCAAAGACAAAAACATGCTTCTAAAGTGATTCTTGCCTTGATCATATGTGGTAGCATCACCGGTGGAGTCATACTCGTATGCCTGACCATCTTGATTGTCAAATCTTTTCTTGCAAAGAAGGCTTCTGCCCAAAATACCCCAACCAGATTTATTTCAGAAGATGCACCATCTTCATATACCTCCAAGTTATTCACAGATCCAAGTAAGGTTCCTCTCAATAACCAAATTACTGTTTAAAATAGAAGCTTAGGGCAAATATATCTGCTCTCTGCGCCCTAGATGCCTGAAGGCGAGGGCTTTCCTTCAATTCCCAAGTGCCAAGTATACTAACTTGATACCTTTGTATTTCTTGTATAAGGATACATTACTCAAGCAATGAAGTTAGGAGCACTTAGTCTTCCGTCTTATAGAATATTCTCTCTAGAAGAACTTGAGGCGGCAACGAACAACTTTGATACAACAACTTTTATGGGTGAAATTCCTAATGGCCAGGTATGGTATATGAACTCTATTATTATTTCCTGCTATAGCATTGAGGTCTTTGGGTGTTATACTTATGACCATATTAGTAATGTAGCTCACGTGGCAGATGTGGACAAGTCATTCCCAAGAAAGGGAGTTTCAAGTATTTGGGGTAATAATCCATGGAAATGGAGAGATTGATGATGATGTTACACATCGTATTGGAATGAGGTGTATGAAATGAAAGCTTGCATCTAGTGTCTTGTGTGATAATAATGTGCCACCATGTTTTAAAGGCACATTTTATAAAGTGGTGGTCAGACCAATCATGTTGTATGGGGCAGAGTGTTGGCCGTTCAAGAACTCGCATGTCAAGAAGATGAGAGTAGCGGAAATGAGAATGGTGAGATGAATGTGGACACGCTAGGAGAGATATGATAAGGAATGAAGCTATTCGGTACAACGTGGGAGTGGCCAAGATGAGGGAGGCAATACTGAGATGGCTCGGGCAAGTGAAGAGAAGATGCACAGATGTTCCATTGAGGATGTGCGAAAGGTTGGCTATAGTGGTATTAAGAGAGGTAGAGGTATGCCAAAGAAATTTTGGGGAGAGGTGATTAGACATGACATGACTTACGTGTAGCTCACCGAGGACATGACCCTAGATAGGAAGATATGGAGGTCGAGGATTAGGGTAGAAGGTTAGTAGGTCAAGAGTGTTGTCTGGTTTCCCTTTTTAGTATCGCTATTACTACCCTTCTATGATCCTATTCTTCGATATTAGTTTTACTGGTTTTTTCCTTTGCTTCAGTTATCGTATTATTTTGTTGTTGTTGCTACTAATCTTTTCTTCATTGTTTTCAGCAAGAATTCTTCAACTATGTTTGCTTTACACACTTGTTTTCTATATGTTTTACTTGAGCCGAGTATCTTTCAAAACAACCTCTTTACCTTCACAAGGAAGGGGTAAGGCTGCGTACACCCCACCCCACTCTCCCCAGATCCCACTTGGGATTATACAGAGTATGTATCAGTATGGGTGTTATATTAGAGAGGTGGTGTGACTTGTAGTAGTAATGCCATCTGTTTGTTCTCTATCATTTTGGCACAAAAGGATGAGTTTGACTCTTGAAGAGTAAACCTATTAATATTACCAGCTGTTCTCGAGGACTACGGCTCACAAACGTTTTCTGTTTTGGATTCAGATGTACAGAGGGCAGATGAGAGATGGTTCCTACGTTACGATTAGATGCCAGATAATGAAAAGAAGCAATACTAGGCAAAATTTTATGCATCACATAGAGTTGATATCCAAGCTCAGACATCAGCATTTGGTCAGTGCTCTTGGACACTGCTTTCAGTTTTACTCAGATGATTCAAGTGTCAGCAGAATTTTTCTCGTCTTTGAGTACGTACCTAATGGGACCCTAAGGAGATGGATTTCTGGTAATTACTTGACAAGCAGATGTATACCCCTTCCCTATTGTTGGATGTAAATGTGCTTCAGTAATTTGATGTTCTCTGTTGCTTAATTGCAGATAAACATGCTAGACGGAAACTAACCTGGACACAACGTATAGCAGCTGCTACAGGGGTAGCAAAGGGCCTACAGTTCTTGCATAATGGAATTATCCCTGGCCTCTTTTCGAATAATTTGAAGATAACCGATATTTTGCTGGATCAGAACCTTGTCGCCAAAATTAGCAGCTACAATCTGCCTGTTCTGTCGGAGAATATTGGAAAGGTGTGACTACCAACTTTCCAAAGTTCATGTCATTCTTCTACTCACACTAACAAAAGCAGTACATATATATGCCACAATACTAACTTATGCATAGTTGCAGGAATACTGTCAAACTTTTCCAGTTGGTTATAACCAAAGGTGTGTACAAATAACTGTCTAATCAGAGCAGCTTAGTATAAATCAATTCTATGACATTTTATAATATATTATTTACATGCATTTTCACTCAAATTCAGAAAATATTGTATTATTTAGTGATTCTGAAGCATGGACATACTTTAATTCTTTCCTACACTGATTTATAGGGAAAAATATGAAGAGAAGTTGGATGTATATGACTTCGGAGTTATACTGCTGGAAATCATTACAGGGAGACCGATAAAAACCAAAAATGGCATCCTACTCCTACGAAATCAGGTACCATATACACACTTATCATCTGCCTCTTTTTCATTACCTTTGTATAGCTCTGAGAAATACGAAGTGAATAAGCTCAGAGAGTGTACATGGCAAATGAAAAAACTTCAGATGGAGCTGTGAACATTTGAATACTGCAATAAGATGCACATCCAGAAAACTACAGACGTTAAGATGTACACATCATTCGTTTCTTCTAGATGCAAAAACTGTAAAGTTATCTATCAAAACTCAAATAAGAAGAATGTTATGTAGTTATTGGTGCCTATTCATGATTCTGAGGTATTATTAATGCAAATTATATTTACTTATCTTTAGAGTTCTGGCTCTTTAATTTCTTCTTGTTATTTGATGTACTAGTTGCAAGTAAGCATGACGGGAAATGGAGTGAATGTGGTTGATGTAGCAATAAGAAGAAGTTCATGTTCAAGTGAATCATTGAGGACGATGGTAGAGATGTGCTGCAGGTGTTTGTACGAGGATCCGGTGGACAGGCCATCGATGGAGGATTTGCTATGGAATTTGCAGTTTGCAGCTCAAGTTCAGGATGATTATCATAGTAGTGATGCCTCTCCAATTTCACCTATACAACCTTCAGGCCAACTTGTCATTCAGTAGAGACCTATGTCTATTACTAGTAACTAAACATCTTTAACTATTTTTGGACTCGAGTAGCACATTGAATTACAAAGTAGCTTGGCATTTGGTTAATAGATGTTTAGTTAAAGTATGAAAAAAGGAATATTTGATTTTGAATGTTGTTTGGCAGTCATAGGTTTATCCTACATTTGTCCACTATTTTTCTCTCTACTTGTTCAATTTTGGGTGATTCAAATTCCAATGTGTCCCCTGGATATGTAGGGTACTCCCTCCGGTCTATTTTACATGTCATGTTTGCTTTTTTTGCATGCTATCTTGGGCCATCTATTTTTAATAAAAACGACAAGCAAAGTGGACCAGAGGCAGTAGTGATTGTCTGTTGAATGAACTCAATATTTTATTTGATACATGATATATTCATTCAATCTATATCATATCATATTTATACTATTCTAAATAAATGTAAAACTGGGAAGAGCATAAAGTTGTAAAGTTGAATTACCAAAATATCCATAAAGTGAGATATTAATAAAGGCATGAAGAAGATGCATAAATTACAAAAAGGGGTAAGAAAGGAGATCTGGAAAATAGACAAATTCCAAAAATAAGTTGGGTTATTTACATGGGAAAGATTAACCCAACTAAACAGGGTAGCCAAACATCTGCCTTTTGGAGTACTAATAGGAGTTAAAACACCATCAAAACAACTGTGGTTTCTTTCAAGTCAAAACACCAAAAAATACATGCAGGTACCATATTCCAGATTTTCTTGACGGCTTTCTCAACTTTCTTGAGACACCATCATAAAAGTCTTTGACTTTTGCAAGGCATAGCACATTGCTGTCTAGATAATGTTAAAGACGTGTACCAAATATCTGCTGCAACTGGACAGTGAATGAAGAGGTGAGGGGTAGATTCTAAACTGGATTGACACATGTGGTATCTATTGACTACCTGGATTTTTCTACTGCTGAGGTTGTCTTGAGTCAAGCATGCTCCTTTTAAGATTGTCCAGCTGAAGCACATCACTTTTGTAGGGAGTCAACTTCTCCAAATCAGCTTCCAAGGCCATAAATCAATCATCTTACTGGAGCACATAGGGGCATAGGCCGACTTGACTAATTATGACCCTTCTCTTGAGCTACCCCACTTTGTCCGTCTGCATTGTGATTGTTCACTGTAAAGTTCTGCAAAGAGTTCAGGAGGGTCATTAAGTCTTCAACTTCCCAATCTTGAAGATGTCTACTCAAAAGAGGACTCTGGGTGTTGTTCTCTCTATTCTACGCAATACTGGAGTTTTGATTGGCTGCAATAAGGAAACTATATGGGAAGGTTTGCTTTAGAGGTGAGTTCCCTACCCATTTATCTTCCGAAACTTGATGGTTGCCCCATTTCCCACTTCAAAAGATGTATTGGATGAAAAATCCTGCCATATATGGCTCGAATACTCTTCCTTTGCCATGAGGTATTGTGACTGAATTGGATGTCCAGTTAGAGTGACTTCCATATTTTGCTGTGATGACATCTTTCCATAGCCTGGGATCTTCCAAATTATATCTCCAGTGCCATTTCATTAACATGCTTCTATTGTGGGCTGCCAGATCCTTCACTCCCAGTCCACCCAATGGTTTTGAAAGTGTGACTTTAGGTCATTTCACTAGATGGAATTTGTGGCAAGACTGTTACCCTCCCATAAGAAGGTACTCCCGAGTCTGTCTAACTGATTTTGGATTTTGGCTGCTATAGGGAAGAATGACATGAAATAGGTTGGTATGCTGTTCAGGACACCATTGATAAGGATAAACCTGCCTCTTAAGGATATATATTGTCTTTGCCAAGAGGCTAGCCTCTTTTCAAACTTTTGTATCACACCATTACAGATCTCAACTAGCATATTCAGTTCTGATACGTCATTCATATGGTAGATGATACTTTTTGACATATTGATGTGAAGACCAGACATAGCCTCAAATAGCATAAGTGTGAGGTTTAGGTATAGGACTGGTGATTTCTCCGCTGCACAGAATATAGGAGTGTCATCAGCAAAAAGTGAGAAACAGAGACAATTGTACCAACATTCACAGTAAAGCCATCAACCCATTGTAGTTGTTTTGCCTTTACCAGCATCAAGCTAAGCCCTTCCATTGCCAAAATAAATAGGAAAGAGGAGAGGGGGTCTCCCTGCCTGATCCCTCTACTTGGAGAGAAAAATCCAACTGGACTTCTGTTGATTAGGGTGGAGTTTTTGACATTTTTATCCCTCATCTAAACACTACTCCTATAGTATTTTTATACTACTTCTCTTCTTGAATTAACCACTCAAGAAGAAGAAGAATACACTGAGATGCTCATAACCGACAATGATGACAGTATGGAACTCATGAAAACAACAATTATTGCCAATTCCAACAGAGATTCCCAAAGAAGTTATACAAATTTACAAAAAAACCTTTATAGGCAACAATTATTAGTATGATAATTTATAATTAGTTGCTTATAGGTCTAGCTCTTACGGAATCCTTCCTAGAAGATGGTTGTGTAGATTAGGTGTTCTTCTTTAGGTGCTTGTATTTGTGTGTGAAATTTGAAATTTCTATTAAAAAACTTAAAAGCTTTGGCCTTGAATTTATTTAAGAATTGTCTTTACATAGTTGCTACATAGATTAATTTTTTTTTTTGAAAAAAAAATAGTCATTGCTAGCTATAGCCTATAAGTACTACAATTTTTTTTTATATTAAATAGACTATCAAACTACAAGTCTTTTCTTTTTATAAGTACTAAAAATTATATTTTAATAAAATATTTTAATTCAAGTCTTTTTTATTTATGTTTTATAGTTTCTTACTTAATTACTTTATAATTTTTTAAGTTTATTAAAAATTAATCGTTAGCCATTGCCAGCTCTAAAAAGCTAGCCGTTTAAGTTTGGAGTTCATTAAATCTGTGTCGATTTACTAAATTTATGTATTCTTGTATCACACTATCGTCTTTTATAATTTTTAGTGCTTAAATATTAAATTAGTTACAAAAATTAAATCCTACTAAGGGCCCCGGATCCCACCTGTCTGTCCCCTTAGCTTAGTGGAATGGGACAGGCCGAGGGGTTCGTCCCGCCTTCCCCCCCCCTCAACGTTAGTAGTTGGAGATGGAACCAAGTGTGATCCAAGCTGCATCTTTTGTCAATTTAATCAGTAAACTATTTTACTCACTTAATATTCGTTGATTTCAGCTACACGTTATTCTATATCCTCAAGCAATTTATGTAATATCTATTGTCAGAACACATCATAAAATTTGATCTTCTCCTTTTCTTTTGCTTCAAGCATCTGATTTTTGATACCCATTAATCCGGACTAGCACCGTAGAAAGCCTACTATATTTAGTGTTTCGTACCAAAGAGGACTCCATTACTAGGACACAGACCTGAGACTTATTTTAAAGAGTGAAGGAACCTTTCACATTCCACCACACCCCCTCCCTTCCATGGTCTCTTCAATCCTTTCTAGATTACAACATTTTACGCTCAAAGCCATGTTCTCTATAGCTGAACTTGACAGTGGCATGCATTGACCTCATTTTCTTAAATACAAGCCGAAGAATAAAGGTACCACAACGTTTAAAGCAACAAAATGTTACCTTACTACATCATGTGTGCTCTGCTGGAAGGATCCCAGAACAACAAGCACTACTGCAAAAGCATTGAGAGCCTGTAGAGTTTACTGTAGTGTCCCCATAACTGAAAGCGAGCTCTTCATTTTCCAAAATGACCCTGGAAGACAAAAAGCAGACTCTGGGTAGCAGAGCTCCAGAACTTCGCACTATCAATGTAGAAAGGTTACCACCATCACAAGAATGGTTAATGAAGCGGGCAATATTGCCAATTCTGGTAGCATCAATGTTAATCCTCATACACGCATTTCCAGATGGAAGGTGCTCCTTCACAACCAGGAGTGCAGGCGAAAAGTGGCCACTCTTTGAAAGTTTGTCATATAGCCTCTGGCGATTTCTTGCTTCCTCAGTGGTCAAAAGTTCTCCTTCGGAAAGAAAAAAGAAAATCACAACCCAAAAAAGGAACCAGTTTGTCAAAAAGAAGCATTATAAGTACACATCAGCACAAAAAGAGCAAGAAAGTAGATAGGTTTGTCCACGTTGACAATTTTCAAGTCTTGAGAAGTTTGAGAAAATTCATATATATACTGCGTTTACTGTTTAGTGAAATGCCAAGAGAACTTCACCAATTTCAACAATTATTGTGGATACCACTCTCAAGAGAACAGTCAATTTAGCTTTATTTTTTTGATAAAGGTAACATTTGTATATCAATCATCAGCTCAAAGCTGGTATCCAAAAATTTACATCATATCCTCCCTCCACACATGTGTGTTGGGAATAAACAAAAGATAAAGAAAAGAAAGAAGAAAAAAAAGAGAACTATCCCTAGATCCTCCTTTCACCTTTATAAGGACCCTAGAATGTCTACAATAGCCACAAGGTCATCTATATACTCTGAACTACACCAATAGCAAAAAGTGATAATGCGGTTCATTTTAATCTTGTGCAGAGGGCTTTTTTAGATGAAAAATAGTTGAAAATGCTTCATTTAGTTTAATTGTATCATAAAAGTCAAAAAAAAAATCCTATAACTTTTCAATAAAAAATAATAAATAAATTTATGTAATAACAAGGGGAAAATATTTTTAATTTCAAAGTAATTGAATATTTGCATTTTAGGACTAAAACATGGTTAATGCACTTTAAGCAATGTCAATACTAATACATGATTTGCTTATTTTACACTATTATTTATTATTCAATATATGATTAAACAAATAAAAAAATATAATTATAATTAACAAAAGAAATGTACATTTAAAATATTTATTTTTGGAGGGCCAAAGACTTCACCTTTTCAATTATAGAGAAAAATAATTAGTTCAAAGGAAGAGAAGTTACAATATTTTTAGTAATATCATGAATTTTGAGTGAATAAAAGTTACAAGCTTAACCCATTTGGCTAATCCATATTTTACCCATAGTTTACCCATAGTTTACCCATATTTTTATGGGTTGAATATGGGTATCAACTCATATTTTACCCATGTAAAAAGTCACTCACCCAACCCATTAAAATATGGGCGGGTTGGGCGGATTACCAAAATATGGGCTCATTTTGCTGGCATTACTGTCGAACTTTGACAAAAGGCTCATCAATCCCATGCGTTAAAAGTTTGGCTCATATATGTCATTTTCGTTAGAGAAAAGGTTCATCCATGCCAATATTTGTTAACTGAAATGGCATAAATGAGTTAAACTTTTTAACGGATGGCATAGATGAGCCTTTTCTCAAAGTTTGATGGCATATTTTAGTCTCAAAGTATTAACCCCTACTGTCCGTACAGTACTTCACTGAAATTTTGAACTGCATTCATAATTCACATTGATTAACCATCTAATCTTTTCACAGAACCAAAAGAATGAGGCCTTATCTGCTGACTTTAACCTTCAACGCTTCAGAGTGAGAAGGCCTTTCAGAAGAAAGTTCCAGGTTTATACACACTTCAACCTCCGTTAAGTGCAAACAAATGAGGCCTTAAACACCGCGCCCAATAAATGTACATCACATAAATGGGATGGAGGAGTATATTCCCTTTAAGGAAAAAACCACATTTAGTTTCCTCAGTTAAGCACCTTAAGCAACATATGGCCAGAAGCATGAGAATATTTGGTTTTTATTGGTGTCACCTTTTTTACTTTATTCCCCTATTTCTTTATATCACGAAGTCTTGCTTGTTTCTTGGCCAAATGCTGGTCAATATAAGTTAAAATCAATTATGCATCAAGTCCAAATAGTCAGAGTTGTCTACATGAATCCTTTGTGTTCACACCGCTCGTTTTGACTCCATTTCGTTCCAATACGGATAATTTGATTTCTCCTGCTTCATTTTGTTCTGTGTGAATCAGGTGTCTAAAACCAAAGGTTCTCAAAATGTCACACTTATCCCTCTATTGAAATACAACTCTAAGAAGAAGACTCCTACCAAACACCAAAACTAGTGTAATAACAACTGAATCTCAATAACCAATCCAAAAAAAAGAACCTTAATAGCAACTAGTCCCTGCGTAGATCATTTGTCATTATCATATTAACAAACACCAATGGTTTCATCGGTATATCTAGTATCTCACCAACTCTTTCAGTGATGCTTTTTATTGGTCAGTAATTTTCCCTAAGATCAGAATCAATCTCAAACCTCATGTTGGTTAAACTTTCTTCCGGGGAGACAACAGGATTGAAATAGGTCTACCCATTTGAGCATTAAATGACAACCTTTATCGAGTCGTCAATGTTCCCATCCACATAATAAGCAATTGAAGAAGCATATTAGCAGTATCCACAATCTAAAACATAGTAATAATTGATATAAATAGGAGTTCATATGAGCTCATTGTTGAAAATATTCCTATTGAACAACAACATCAAAAATTTTACCTGTATACTCGCATATGAATTTCCCTTTTGGAATGAATTCAGCAGCACACAAGCTCCAGCCTTTTCTCCTATCCTTCACAACCTTCAGCTTCACTGAAATTCCTTTCTGAGTTAACCTATTACCGCACTCCAACCCGCAACCGCAACTTGGCCCGCATTCTCGGGTCGGCAAATCAGAAAAATCCATACATGCGCAATTAGAACTGGAGTCCAAGTCGCAACTCTCACAATCGCACCCATAAGCACCCTCCACCCGGACTATAAACGGGTCCGACCTAACCCGACCCGATCCACCTCCCCAGGGGATGGATGGAGAGGTGGGTAAGGTCTGAACAGGGGAATAGATGAAATTGGCGTAAAGTTCGGAGTCGACGGAGTTGAAGAAAGGAATAGGGTAATTCTCCAAGTTTCTAGAAGCATCGGAGATTCGACTGGAAGTAATAGTCTTGGAAACTACATGTAACACCTTGCAGGTTGCTGAAACGGAGGCTAGACCGGCAGGCTCTAAGTATGGAAAAACGAGATGGGCGAACCGGCAAAGTATTCCGGCGCTGTCGTCGTCTTTTTCCGATTCGCCGGTTCTTTGTTGTTTGTCCATTGTTGCCACAATTTTTTTTTGACGATTCAGGTGTGGCAAAATTTTACAGCTATATTTTTATTATATAGAAGAGTGAAGCCAACCAAGACGATCAAGGGTATTTTGGTAATTTTACCACTAGGAATCAGCTTGTACCTCTACCTACATGGCAACCTATCATCCACAAATTATTATTCTACTATTATTATTATATTATTATTATTACTTTTCTACTTATATATAAGAGAGAGTTTATGATGGGACATGTGAATGTCCCATCATAAACTCCCTATATAATACATAATATAATAATATAATATAATAAATCATTTTTTTTACTATATAATATATATAATATATATTTATTTTCTAAGGGAGTTTATATAATATATAATATAATATAATATAATATATACATAAACTCCCTTTTATTATATATTCTACTTATATATATAATATAATATAATAAATCATTTACAAATGACTTAAAATATTTAATATTTAAAATTCTATCATAAAATAGGTTGACTCTCAAAATTCTATCCGGGTCACATAAATTAGCAAGTTATTTGAAAGTTACATAAAAATATTATAAATCACAATAATTAATAACTTAAAAAAAAATTTAAAAAAAAAGTGCAAATTTGGATGACTCTTCAAATTTCATTTGTGTCACATAAATTGAGACAACAAAAATAGCATATATTGCGTCCATTTTAATTTATTTGTCTTAATTTTTTTTTATATTTACAAATTGCGTAAAAATACTATAAATCATGATAATTGACAACATAAAATATGTTTTGATACAAAAAATTGCATTGATTCTTCAAGTTAATCTATCGTAAAAATACTATAAATCATGATAATTGACAACATAAAATATTTCAGAAAAATATACATATAAAAAATTTCGATTGATTCTTGAAATTAATCTATCGTTAAAATTTATGTATAAAATACAATAAATCGTGATAATTGACAACTTAAAATATTTATTAAAAATGCACAAAAAAAAAGAAATTGACTGATTCTTAAAATTAATCTATCAATGTCACATAAAATGAGACAAAAGTAGTAATATGTATTATTTAATGTCAAATTACTGAAAACTAAGTAAAATGTATTGTAAATCTTAACAATTAACAACATTTGATTAACTCTTGAAATTCTATCTATGCTACATACATTGAGACAAGTGGAGTAATATATATTAAGTATTTACAAATTACGTAAAAATATTATAAATTACATTATTAACAACTTAAAATATTTAAAAATCATATTAAATTTAAATAACTCACTATATTTTATCTGTGTCACATACATTAGGACAAAAAATAATAGTTATTGGGCCCGTGCGTAAAAGAGTTTATGCCCAAGTATAATATATAATATTCAATGACTCTCCAAATTTCATTTGTGTCACATAAATTGAGACAACAAAAATAACATATATTGGGTCCATTTTAATTTATTTGTCTTATTTTTTAAAATTTTTTATATTTAAAAATTGCGTAAAAATACTATAAATCATGATAATTGACAACATAAAATATGTTTTGAAAAAGATACAAAAAATACCATTGATTCTTGAAGTTAATCTATCGTAAAAATACTATAAATCATGATAATTGACAACATAAAATATTTCAAAAATAAATACATTTAAAAAAATTCGATTGATTCTTGAAATTAATCTATCGTTAAAAATTATGTATAAAATACAATAAATCGTGATAATTGACAACTTAAAATATTTATTAAAAAAACAAAAAAAAATTGACTGATTCTTAAAATTAAATCGTGATAATTGACAACATAAAATTGTTCAAAAATGTTGTATGTGGGTAGTCTTATTGTGCCTTGAATAGCGTCAAAGAAAGTACAGGTTTGTGATAAAAAAAATTATTCCTTTATCCACGCAAAAAATCGCTTCAAAAATTTCGTTATTAGCCCCAAAACATACCATTTATGTTATTGGGCCCGTGCATAGCACGGGCAACAAAATCTAGTAGTTCAATAAATATTTAACAATTTACTATGTTTATTAAATTTGAGGAAAACAATAGAAAAATTATTTAATCATTAACACTTCAAAAAAATCATTAAATTTAAAAATAGGGAAAAGGGTCAAAAATACCCCTCAACTTTGTTTTATTGGTTGACTTTGCCCATACCGTTAAAAGAAAGTTAGTTTTACCCCTCATTTGACGGAAAACCCCAAATTATCCAAAAAAAAATGTAACAAACCATTCCTTATTTTTAACCCAATACCCCGACCCCTCTCATTTGGTTTTTGGTGAAAAAGCCTTCCATTTCTGTCAAATGACCCGGCCTCCCCTGGCTCTTCCCCCGTTCGGGCTCCCTTTCCTCCCTATGGTATGCTCCCCCGACGCAGGCCTACCACGCTTCGCGCCTGCAGCGTTTTCGCAAGACGGTCTTTGCCAGGACGCCCATCCGACGCATCCGTTATGGTTATCTCATATCCCCTTTTGTCTTTTCGTATGATTTTGCTTACTATACCTGCTGTTGTAGCATTATAAATTGCATTCTTACTCTTGTTGCCATCTACTAGTTCTTACATAAGCAATTTGCAAGAAGTAAACGAAGTCTTTCCTTTCGAAATCCACTCCTGAAGTCACGTGCAAAGTTTACCTTCCCGCGGTCAAAACAAGACTTACGAATAACAATTAGACCTTTGAAGCTCATTTTCCAGCATTCCTTTCAATTTTTTCAACCGATTTGGCAACTTTCAGCTATACAAAGTTAGGTGATTTACTGGGTCAGGAAAAACCTTCTGTACAAGGTTCGAAATGGTGAATTGAGGTAGAGTAGACCGATGATCCTGTAGTCATTTGGCCGGCTATTGAAAGAAAAAGCTTGCATCTGCTTCCCCTATTATATAACTGGTCCCATCTATCTCCAAACCTAACGTGGTAGTTTCCCATCATAGGGCTTTCTAATCACATTTTCACCTGCTTTAAGCCTAAAGACCTCGCTACCTCTTCTTCATCATCTGCTTCTTTTTCCTCTACATCATTTTCTCACACCAAAATCACACTCTTTTCTCATCGTTAGACAAATCACATACTCTCTCTCACACCGACACTCCTTACAATTCATTATTTTATCAAATCATCATTCTTAGGGTTTGTGAATGAACGATTGAGTCAAATTGGTACTTGAATTTCACTGTTTCAAATAAGAAGTTAGATCTTAATCTTAAATAATTCTAAAGTAAAGTGAAGCAAATATGAATGTTGATTCATTGAGTGCTCGTCTATCTTCTACTTTCAGGAGCTATCTAAAGATTGGATTTTTATGTGATTTATGTTGTTAATTTTGGTGTAGGAATGAAATGGGAGAATCTTGAGGCGGAAATGTTGATGGGTTTTGAGGAAATAGTCGTGGATGATGATATAAGAGAGAAGTTCCCTTGATGCTTTTGTAGACATTGATGGGTTTTGATAGGGCTGCTGACTTGGAGGGGGTAGAGTAGTGGGAGAGGTGGTGGTGGAGGCGGAGAGGGTGGTGGCTTTAGTGGTGGTGGTGAAAAACAAAGTTGATTTGGGTAAAATAAATGGGTTATATGATTAATTGGGTCGGATCGGGTTAAAATTGGATAATTTAAATAAAATTGGGTAATTTGGGGCTTTACATCCAAATGAGGGTCATATATGGTGAAATTAGTAATGGTAGGGGTAAAACTAACTTCATTTTAATGGTAAGGACAAAGTCAACCAATAAAACAAAATTGAGGGGTATTTTTTATCCTTTTACCTTAAAAATATGCAACACAAAAAGTTATATTAATAGCAAAATGTCACGTCTCGATTTCTCGAGTCATGATGACACCTACTATAACCCACCAGTAGGTAAGCCAACTCGTAACCCTTGAACAACAAGTAATGGGTCTGAGGGCAAAAACTAAACAAGAGTATGCAAAATTTAAGACAACCATATAAACAGGCGGAAGCAAACCAAAACATATATATACAAATAAAGATCCCTCACTAGTACAGAGCTACTAACAAAACGAGTACAAGTCTCAAAAGTGGACCACATAAACTAAACTGTCTCAAAAGGCAAAAGACAAGTCTATATATACATATGGAGATTGAAATAGTACAAAACATCGTGTGCTCACCCCCATCTCCAGATCAGACTACCCCATGCCTCGTATTGATGACTTGTTTGATCAACTTCAGGGTGCCGCCATGTTTTCTAAGATTGGTTTGAAGTCTGGGTACCATCAGATGAGGATTAGGGCAGCGGATATCCCTAAGACCGCATTTAGGACTCGTTACGGCCACTATGAGTTCCTTGTGATGTCTTTTGGATTGACTAATTCCCCTGCTGCCTTCATGGACTTGATGACACGTGTGTTCAGGCCATACTTTGATTCATTTGTTATTGTCTTCATTAATGAAATACTGGTATACTCGCGGAGCCGGAGTGAGCATGAGCAACATTTGAGGATAATACTCTAGGCTTTGAGAGATTTGCAACTTATGCCAAGTTGCCAAGTTCTTAAAGTGCGAGTTTTGGCTTGAGTCTATAACATTCTTGGGGCACGTGGTGTCCAAGGAGGATATTATGGTGGATCCGACGAAGATTGAGGCCATTCGTGGTTGGGCTAGGCCCACTTCTGTGACTGAGGTTAGCAATTTCGTTAGACGGACGGGATACTACAGGCGTTTTGTTGAGGGTTTCTCCACTATTGTTGCACCTTTGACTCGATTGACTCGCCAGGGTGTTCCTTTTATATGGTCTGAGGAGTGTGAGTTTAGCTTTCGAAGGCTCAAGGAGTTGTTTACTGCCACTCATATATTGACTCTTCCAGTTGAGGGCGAGGGTGCATGGTATTCCCCCGGTGTCGTGGCAGGGTGCTTATAGTCACACACCAACGGGGATCATCTCTTTTATGCCGGTTAGGCTATTAGTTGCTTCTGGGTGTTTAGCTTATTTGGTCTATGTGCAAGATGTGAGTAGGAAGGGCCATTCAGTTGACTCAGTTC